GTAGTTCAAGTATTCGATTACTCTTCTTATGAAATACTCAAACATATTGAAACATCAGTATCAGAATAACTTTTTTGTTTTACAGTTGTCTTCAAAAAAAAGATACGATTAAATTAATATGTAGCAATACGTCGTTATATTATCTATTCTAGATGATCTAGTAATGGATATCAGAATAAAATTCAAGCAAGTATATATACTGTAATTTAAAATTCGCGCAATAATTTTTTATTATTTGTTTCTCTTAGATCTATGTTTGTTTCAATTATTCTAACTTTCTCCCGTCAAAAAATTGACCATAATTAAATAGTTGGCTCCTAAAACTTGATAGCCAGATTCTTTGGATAATCTTTCGCTGTTCCTCAAATCATTTACCCTTGCTAAATATTACAATATCGAGTGAATAAAAAAATTGCTTTGATCCTCTAGAAATACTACGATTCTTGATGAAGTCTTTTATATCTTACTGACAAATTATTATTAATAACTAATAACTTGCTGTGAAACATAGCCTACAACATTTTAATTGAGATAATTATATCACACTGGAAACCAAACAAGTCTCGTATAGTGACTGATTATTAAGGATGTAGCAAAGAGAACAAAGAGGGAGGTGTGCAAAAGAAGTTTTCTGAGAGCTAGTGAGGTGGGTGTGGGTGTGTGGGGCGGGTGGGTGTGGGTGTGAGTCTCTAATATATGTCACACCCACACACCCACACACCCACACACCCACACACCCACACCCTTTTATGTGCAACAAATCGATTACATATGATGGAGGAAGCATTTTTACGCCGAATGTCTGGAAAATTTTTTGTCGAAAGACCATCATCAAATGCACGTATTACTATTCTTAAAAGTATACCAGATTGTGCTTTAGAACCTGAAATTCTTGATCGTCTATCAGTTGCTACAAATAACTTTAGTGGAGCAGCTGTCAGGTAATTATTCTTTCGGCTAATTATAAAAGAAAAAAGGAATTCTTGCATTATTCTTGAGCATTGACTTGAAGTATCACTGTTAAATGTATTGCAGAACGACGTTCTAATAGAAAATATCAAGTAGATTATATTGAAGCACTGGAAATAGCTGATCGTACTGCTCAACAATGTCAAATCTTATTTGGCAGTGAAACATTACCACGTCTTTTGTTGCGTAATTTACTCAGTGGCTCTACTCTTCCTATTCCTAAATTAACAAATAATTCTATCTATGCTAGACGAATTGTAGTAGATTTATATAATGGTTATGTACGAATCGAAGTACATAAACAATGTACCGATCCAACAAATCATTCTCTATCAATCATCGAACATAAACTTCATTCAATTGAGATAAATGTTCAAACATTACTTGAACGATTGACTTTGTATGGAAAAAATCGAAATGTACAACTACTTCAATTAGTCGATTTGAATCTACTAGCTTCACAAGGTGCTTATGACGAGAGAAAAGTCTTTGAAACATTAAGAGATCGTTTTGATGAATGTGTTGCTTATACACGTTCAATGCTTGTTTATGATCTCGATGCCTTAGTTGGTGTCAATAAATCTGAATCGAATTCGAGTATGGGTCGATCTACGTCATCATCTGTTGTTAATCAAAGTATTTATACATATGTACGTGCAAGATTTCGTGATTGCGCTATAGAATATGATCAAGGTAAATCTAAAGACAAAATTGAACGATGGGCTGTGGCTATTATTCGTGAACCTTTTTTATTACGACAATTTTGTACTGATGTTCAATTTGCCCGTACTCCTCAAGAAGAACATGAACTCGAATTAGAACGATGTAAGGCAGAAAATCTAATTAAATGCGTTAAATGTAAAGATTTTTATATTGAAAATGAAAACAAAATGGGTAAAGCTTTCTTGTTTGTTTCAAATAATTTTTCTACGTGAATACATTATTCTAGGTAATTGTGTTCATCATGATGGATTTATATATGATAATTCAGCGGCTGATTTAACAAAACATACTCCAAGTGAAGCAATGATGTTATTGAACGAACTTGAATGTCATCTTATCAATGATGCTGAACGACGTGACGAACTAGAGCAAAAAAAAACGAAATTTAAATGGATCTGTTGTGATGCAATACTTGTTAGTGGAAATGTGGGCGGTTGTAAAAAAGGAAAACATGGTTAATATTGACAACAATGCCAATCAGCAACAACGACAACTTGATAATACTATAGTTGATAGACTAGCTCGAACCAATATTCAGCAATGGGAAGAATCTTCTTTATGTAATGAAGAATATAATGATAAATGGCTCTTGTTATTACAAAATCGTGGTTAATCTTAGATGGTTTAATACTTTTTAGTTCTTTTTCCGTGCAAAATAAAACGAAAAAAAATATCGAAAATTCTTGAATCAAGATTTCGAGTTTAAAGAAATAAATATCAAAAAAATGTTTATTCAATTTTTTCGTTTCGTCTGAAATATCAATAAATTATAGTTCTAATTCGATGCATAAAGCATATCGAGAATGTGTCTTGTCAGAAGTCTCATAATTGATAGTCAAAAGAACGCTTCTCTTTATTAAAGATTATCAATTAATGTTCAAAATCACTGAATGATGAGTTCAAACATCTCATATGAAAATTATTTTGACACATTCGATAAGATTCAGCTCATAGGCCTAAAAATGAAGTCTCGATAAAAGCAACAGAAGTGAAAAATCAAGACACGGATCAACTGATCATACGTTGTTTGAAATCGACTGCATGCCATTATCCAGGTATCCTTTTTAGCACTTTCTTCATTTTGTCATGAAGACGCCCAATATAGCGGTGAGTGTGGGTGTGATGGATGTGGGTGTGGGTGGGTGTGAATGTGGATGTGAGTGTGGGTGCGAATGTCAGATATAAGTACGCTCAGACCCACATCCACACCAACCCGCACCCTGCACTCATCCACACCCACACCAACCCACACCCCACACTCATCCACACCCACACCGACACCCCTTCTAACGACTTTTTACAGTTGTTTATTGGATACCAAAATACTTTCCTTGCCTGACTGTAAACAGTTGTATGGTGTTCATTTTGATAAATGTGCTAAATGATATTTAACTGCCCTTACAATCCAAAGTAAGTGTATATACTTCTGACTTCAATTCTGATGCTTGTGTTCTGAAATGATTTATTTTCATCAGTGAATAAAGTCCAAGGTGACGAGTTAATATTGTCTCTAATGATAACAACAGTGAAATTGCTTCTATTTAAACGAATGAGGTTTTATTCATATTTTTATTTAAATAAGAGATGATAATAATCAAAGTATTTTAGCACAAGGAAAATAATCTTTTAAATGTTCAGGAAATTCTGATTTGTTAATGAAAAAGATAATTTTCAGTTTTGCACAATTCTGTCGTGTTTCATTTCTTGTAAAATTGTGTGTGACGCTGTTTAGTAATTGATAATCGGTCTGAAGAAAAATCCCATTTGGTAAAGACATTTTAGTATCGAGTAAAAATTGTTCAGGATAATCTTCGTCAATTTTTGTAAGATTAAGGTCCGTAAGATGAGAATATTTAATCACAATTGACAAATGTTGATGGTCATTTTTTGATTGTTGATAAAATTTGTTAATTTGTGGTTTCATATTAATTAAAGTCAATTTCTCCATCAATGGAAATGATTCAGCAATACGAAGAAAAAATTCATGTTCAAAAGAACGTTCATCAAATGATGATACTTCGCGAACACATTTAAATATTCCACCTGAAAAATTATTTGTTATATTATCATAATGTTTTAATTTATATGGATATGAATAAATATGACCTTGACTAGAATTTCTGTTTGGAAAATAATCAACGCAAGAAATAATTTGATTATCTTTATAATCATTGAGTGTATGTTGAATATCTTCATTTGACGGTATATTAATTTGATTATAAAAATGACTGAATGAACGAATATTAAATGTAAATTTGTTCAAGAATGGCATCTTATTAATAATATTTGTCTTCAAATCATTACCATCAACAAATGTTCCTTTGCCCGAAATTATAAGAGACAAATCAAGTTTTTCTAAATCAGACATTCGATACAGAAGTGGTACAATTAATTCATCATAAACATATGTATCTCTATTACAGTGCAATGAAAAGGATCTTAAATTAGGAAGTTTTTTCTAGAAAAAATAAAAAAAGAGAAGAAATATCACTTCATTTGAATAAATTAAATATTAATCAAAATAATTTACTTGATTATCAATTGTTAAATTTGAAGAAGAAATGAAATTAATATTAACATGAAGTATACGAAGTTCATTGAAACGTCCATCAAGTAAATAAAGACAATCAGTAAAATGACTGAGACAAACGTGTAATTCTAACAGAGTTGAAGAGAAAACATTTGGAGATGAAATACCAAATGATAATTCTTGATACCAAGTTGAAGATGGACAAAAATTTTAAAATTGTAGATGACTGAACGTAGTAATGATACGCATAAATATACGTGCATATACATCTTCTCTTGAACTTAGTGATCCATTTGCATTAATACTGATAACAAGTGATGAAACTTGATTTTTGAACATACGAGTGAAAAGACTTTCATCTAAATAATAAAAAAAAGTATATAATTCTTTTTTGGTTATTAACAAAAAAAGCTTGTTCATGAAACTTCTGTAGGACTAGAATGTAGAACTCACATATCTTTTCTTCAACTTTGTTATACTAATACAAAATATATACAGTGAAAAGTTTTGCGTTTCAAAAATAGTCAACCGTCAGAGAAACGATTTGTCTTACTTATTTCTACACCTTGAACAGAATTTTTTTCGCTTATTTTTTACTGACGCTCTGCTTCTTATTTCCTCGGTTACTAAGGGAAGATTCGTACTCAATGGCTTTTGATCGCGATTACTATGGAGAAAGCAAAGTAGGAAGGCGAGCAGGAAAAGTTTGCCTTAAAACTTATACTTCCTATTTCGTTTACGTGAAATATATGAATTCCACAAAATGTTAACACCTGCTAACAATCACATTTCTGACAAACATCGAAATGAATATAGTACAGAATAGAGCTCGATACTCTGATTCTACAAATACCTAATCAGTTACGGACTTTATATAATTAGATGAACCACACTAAACATCTGAAAGGACACTAATGCCTAAAAATTATTTCTTAAATTGTTCTCTTTCATAATTTGATTTGTAGACAGTGGTATCGATCTTCCTTTTTATGAGTTATTTTTAGGAATCAGAGGTTAAATTTGATAATAAAACTTAAGATTAAAGCTCAAAGGCAAATGTTAAACTTTTGAAGTGACAGCCTAAAGAATCTACAGTCTATGGAAAAGAGAAAAAAGATTTTGTTTGAAAAAACTTAATATTCGCTTTCGAGTTTTAACTCTAAGTTTTATTATCAAGTTGACCTCTGACCTCTAAAAATGACCTATAAAAAAGAAGATCGATGCTACTGTCTACAAGTTAAATTATGAAAGAGAACATGCTTAGAAGGTAATTTATAGATTACGTTCTATTTGACACGATTTCTTTTATGGGAATTTTCTTCTTATTCATATTGACAAACAAATATGAAATTGATTTAAATGAATTCATCGGATATATAGCTTCATTATTTTTATCATTGAAAAATCGAAGTTAAATATCGTACCATTAAAAAGATATATAGCTTTTTCTTCTTGAATGTTATATAAACCAAATCCATATAAATTAGGATAATTTACAGCAAGAAGAATACGTTCCATTGAAAATGGTTCAAGATCAAGCCATTTGATTTTATTATGAATTTCAGGCAAGATTTGTACACAAAATCGATCAAGTATTCGATCAGATAATGATAAAACACAATAATTCAATGAAGATTTCAGTAAAGTCAAATGATTCGTAAAAATAGAATTACATACTATTTTATTTAATCGTTTATTAACACCAAATAAAGAATAAAGTACATCGATATTAGACAGTTTTTTCAAAATATAAATAAGAATTTTATCAGATAAATCATTTAAGTGAACAGATAAATATTCCATGTTTATCTCTATCGAAATCTATTTTGCTTAGCTTTATATAGATATATTCCTGTATTCTATTGGATCGATCTCGTCAATGCAGACAATAACACATTGTTTCAGAATTCGAATTAACTGTGAATGAATGGATAACTGATAGAAATGATATTTTCTCTCTTTTTCTTGTGTAAAATATCGTTTGATGTATGCACTAAAGATGTACATAGCGCTCGGGCAATCCGTGCCGTCGAATAAATTTGTAGAGATCAACACCTGAATGTTAGTTCTGCATCAGTTTCTTTTCCTGATATGTCCGCTTAGTAGATTCGATCGACTAAAAATTATCTGAAACCGAAATCATTATCGTAGATGGCAGAAATTAGAAAAAAATATCTTCACTAAGAGATTATGACTGTTTATTTCTTGAAATCAAAGATGTCCTACACGTCATGGTTTAAGTAAAACAAACTTATAGATATCTACTGACTGGAATCTCTGATCCCAACAATAAAAGGATCACGTTGGGTGTAGGTGTGTCGGTGTGATTGTGAGGTGTGATTGTGAGGTGTGATTGTGGGGTGTGTGAGTGTGGAGTGTATGTGAGTCCGTGGGGTGTGGATGTGGGTCAAATTCTTAGGGTATGGGTGTGGGTGTGGTATGGGTGTGGCTGCGATGTGGGTGTGGATGTAGGTGTGGTGTGGGTGTGGGTTGTGGTGAGTGTGTGAGTATGCGGGTGTGGGTGTTTGGGTGTGGGGTGTG